AATGTGTGTCCGATCAAAAAAGTAAATAGGAGGTGCACAACTGCACTATGTAACAAAGATTCTGTAAAACTTTCACAGAATCTTTGCTAAATAGTGCAATAGCGCACCTCCTATTTTACTTTTTCATTACATTTCATTAAAAGAGGAGTTGGGATAAGAGATGTGTACTCCAAAGCGTAACAGACGGACAGACATGCAGACGGACAGATATCCCGATCACTGTAAACCCTCCGACTTTTCAAGCAGGGGGTATAATTATTACTACACAAACGTCATATAGCAAAAAACATTTTTTTTTAAAATCTAATGTTATGTCGATTTTAAGTTATGGCAGTGAATACAAAACACGTAACAAAATAAATATAAAATGGATTTAATACATTTCAAACGGTCAGTTTAAATCCAATTCTTTATAACTGAATTCACTTAATTCACAAATAGACTTCTCTTTGTAGACACAGTTGTAATCCGCCAGTTTGGAATGGTATGCTACCATTAGTAGACCACAGTTAGATGTTGTGTAACCGTTTGGTTCATTGGCAGACCAGAGTGATGACGTCATATTGAATGGTTCTTGAGTAGAAGCGTACATCCACATGTCTTCCTCAATCAAGTCAGTGATTCCAATCCAGAAATTTCCACCTAATGTTATTAATATTTTTTGTCAATCATGTTTAAGTGTTAGAATTCATTTTCAAAAGTCATAAGCCGGTAATCACGAAACAATGATTACAACAGTGCCTAATTTTAAAATAGAAATTTTCATACATGTTAGTGTCTTTCAGTAATTTTAAAACAATTTTAGTTGCCAATGAATATACGACTAATTAAATTACTCATGTACTCATTGGCAATTAAAATTGTTCATTTCTGTAAGACACTAGTATGCGTATCATTGATGTAACATGAAAATAAATATCATTTACCATTATCAAAGTCGCTCATAATCTGGAATCGCAAAAAAAGCGCAAAAAAGATTGATTGAATCTCAATCTAATACAAACTCTTTTCCCATTAAAATTGTTAAAAATACATTTTTCTGGTCTTTTTTTGGCGGGATGGGGTGAGGTTGGAGACCGGGAATAGTTAACAATAGAAGATATAATTTATTCCCATTCACATTAAATCGCATTTCATATTCATCTTTTTTTTTTTTATTTTATTAAGTTTCTGCCTGAGGTTATATTCTATCAAGTTGTATAACTTCAGATTTTATGATTAAAAAGAAAAATATCAAATTAAATGTAAGAAAAATTCCCCATACCGACTTTTTGAGCATGGCTTGTCAGAAAATGGCCTTCTTCTTCTGTTCGAGGCTCAGCTAGTTTGGCGCTCATGGCATGGCAGTACGCCTTAAAATGACGAAATCCTTAACTATACTGAACATGACAGTACACATGTTTAATGACGAAATCTCAAACTATAAAATCATGACAATTCGCCTGATCATTTCCAATCGCCTGAAAATGACGAAATCCCAAACTATACAAAACAACAGTATGCCTAAAAATGATAAAATCCCAAACTTTACAAAACATGACAATTCGCCTGATAATTTCAAAATCCTAAATTATACAATAAATGACAGTTTGCCTTGTAATGACGAAATCTCAAACTATACAAAACATGACAGTACGTCTGATGATGATGAAATCCAAAACTTTAAAAAAAATTAACAAATTCATTTAATTACAATCATGCTTAATCTTTTGAAGAAAATGACTGGAAGAAGAGTAGGGAATGTAGAAACGTATCTATCGTTCTTATCTTACCCAACTTCAAATTAGTATCAAAGTATTCTGGACTGGCAAGTACATGTCAAAATGCGCGGGATATCCTTTAATTAAATCTTAGAAGAATAGCGCCTATTCTTTTGTAAGAATGCGTCGTTTTATTTTTTCACGTTTTAAATACTTACTGACGCTACTCCCCATTCTTTTGGCATGCTGTTGAAAAAATAACATTTATTTCCATACCCAATCCATCCTGGTAAACAACCTATATGAATGTAATTTTCTATTTTACTCAATAGAAAAAAAATAAAAGCAAGTAGTGTAGTTTATAATTTTAAAAATCTCCACAACTCACATTCAGCGCCCTCGATTAGTACCACACTGATCAACAAAATCCGGTTCAATTTCATGTCTGGTTTTCAGAACAAGAAGGAATATTTTCTTGATAAGTGTCGTTATCTAAGTACTAGTATATACTCATGCATAACATTTACATATCAACACTTCTGATCCACTTTTGCAAAATTTCACCAGACTTTAACCTTGGCCATAGCTTTTGAACAATTGGTGCAAGAGCTTTAATACGTCAATTATAGATTTTTCTTTGTGAAAATACATTTCCTTGGGTACGGACTTTTTGACCTTGGACTTTGACCCATTTTAAAAATCTTTGAACTTAGCCATAACTTACATTACTTCTTATTTCATTGGCTTATTTCTTATCGATGTTCGATCCTGATATTTAAAGTCTTAAACTTTTTTTGCCAAGTATATTTTTAGTTTTTACAAACATAGCTTAATTAAAGTTCAAATCAAAAAATGGGGGTCAATACGCTTCTTTTGGCGCTACAGTACATTTAATATGACCTTTATGCACTGAAATTTGTGTCTAAATTAAAAATTAAATTTTTGGCGTTTTCCCTCCAATATTTTTATCCAGTTAAAGCATGAAACAAAATGAACTCTAAGTTTGTTTAAAAAAAGACACTTAAAAATTGTGACTATGAAAAAGTTTCAAATTGCTTCGCATAATCAATTATTTGACCTTTCTGCACTAATAAAAAGTGATTTTTCTGGCATTGAAAATTTAATTAGAAAGAAAATTATTTTAAAGTCTTAAAATTTTTCTGATTTTAAGCAAATAGGTCAAATTTATCTTGAATATTTAGAAAAGAACATCAAAAGTGGGGGTATATGATGTAAATTTTCAGATATTACTAAAAAAGTGTAAATTTTACGTTAACATTGGCTCAACTTTCCCCCGGATTTTCAGAATATATTAACTATATTTGTCACACTTTCTTGATAGAATTCATAAGAAATAATTTAATAGATATTTCAGAACCAGTATTACACATTTCACTGCAAAAAACAGCTTTGTGTGCAACCAGGATGGAAAAATAGGAATCCAAAATTAACATTACTGTTATAGTTCAAAATGGAAAAACTGATCATTTTCGTTTAAAAAAACCTTCCGCCACAAAACATAGTCCCTAGCTTAATTCTACTTGAATGGAATTTAATCCCGGTTTTTTCATTGGATATAGTTAAATTTGCATTGTAGAATTTAGATTTAATGTTAGAACTTAAAAATGATGCAGAATTTTATAAATAAAGGACATGGCCAAAATACGCTCAAAATCTCAGGATCGAACGTCCTTAAGACAAGATTTCTTTTGAGAAGTTGGTGTTAGAGCCTTCATAATTTCCTAAATGTTAATTCTATAGAAGATTACGCCAACCGACGGACCACACCTTCGTGCTCGGTCCATATGCTTTTCTGTGAAGTCGATATATCTATGGATCTACCCCATCAAAGGGCTATATTTATATACTTTTTAAGGGGAACTGGTATTCAATTCTGCAAGTAGTAATCCAACTTATACCCATACCCTCTTCCTACGGGGGATCCTTCCAAACAAAGATTCATAGCATATTTTTTCAATAAAGATGGAACTCGTAAATTTACTTACCTTGTCACTGGGCATTTGCAAAATTATTTTGTTAAAAGCATTTCAACTGTAAAAATGAATACTCTGATATGCTATAGTTTCCGATTTATAAGGTATATGCAGTTTTTGGAGATCTTGTTTTCCAACCTGTGTGAATTTTCGTGGGTACTAATTGCGCTCCATTATAAACAGTGTTATTTTTTTATTCATATGAAACAGAATTAATTCAAATACTTATATACATGAGAAGATGAAAACACTTGCTTTGGCCTTCAACTCTACATTTAGATATTTGATGACGTACTATATACATTTGTATTAACAAAAATTGTCGACTCGATATATCCCAGTGAACTTGAAATAAAAGATTCAATATTTCATATTCAGATATCTTACTTGAAAAAGAATTTAATGATAGTCTAACAACAAAACTTTATATTAAGGTGATGATTTCAAATTTTCTGTCGTCGACTTCTATTATTTATGTAACAATATACCCTAATCACCTGCATACAACAGAATGCTCTAGGTAAGAACAATACTTATGAAACGGGGCAAGCAATTGACAAACAATTTGATGAAACTTGGATGTTAATTAACAGTCTCCTTTAAAGTCATCATTTCGCAAGTTCTATGGTCAATACAATGTTTTTCATACTTATTGTTAGGCCTTTGTATACAAAATGAATTGTCGACGGATTGTTTTAGTTTGCCTGATCACGACAAATGGGGATGCTTACTCCTCTACGGCACCTGATCCCATTTCTGTTCTTTTCTGATCTTTTGGATGCCCTATTGGCTTGCTCCTGATTTGAAGTGTTACTATGAACTTTTGAGCCTGAATAATTTTCGTTATGTTTATATTTCATGTGCATTTCTCGTGAAAAGAAACACCCTTGGAAACCAACAACTTTAAACCCGTATGAAATAAACCTGGGAATTGTTCTACTTTTTAAAAACTTTAACCTAGTCATAACTTTTGAATGTGTTGGTTTTAAGGCTTTTATATCTCACATGTGTATTATTTTTCTTGTGACAAGGTCTAACCTTAGGTACCAACAGTTTTCATTTTCTTCCCTTGATCTTTGAGTTTGACCTACTTTTGATAAACTTCAATCTTGGACATAAAATTTCTAATGGTTGGTGTTAGGCTTTTCATATTTCATGTGTGTATTTCTTGTGATAAGATCTTTGCTTGCGCAGTATTAATTTCGATCATTTGCCATTGACTTAATGTTTGACCATCATTGTCCATGGCTTTTGAACAATTGATACCAATTGATTAACTTTTATTTGAGAAACATTTAGTTTTGCAATGAGCTGCCATACAACACATTTTATTTTACTTACTTTTAATCACAATAGCATAAAAAAAAAAAAAGCACATGGATCATTTGATCATCAATATATTTTTTCCAGGTAACACATCTTCAATTTGCTTCTTGAGTGTTTTTTTCAACCAACAATTATTTCAGGGTTGAATCTAAGGAAGAAAATGATGAATCACTATTAATATAAAATAGATTTTTCAAAAAGGGTATGTTGTTTACCAATTTATGCCTCTTTTTTAAAAAATATAATTAAATTGAACTAGTTGTTTAGTTTTATCAGTGATCTTACAGACTTACTCATTATTCTGTTCACAAATAAAATTCAGTGCTCCACCGCATGCGTAATCCGACATTTTGTCGTGGCTACCTGCCCACAACATTGCGCAGTTTTCAGCAGCGTGACCATTCGGTTCGTGTGCACCCCATATCGAGGACACGCCTATCGGAGCCTGATTGGATGCATATATCCACGTGGTTTCTTCCACCATGTCAGTTATTCCCAACCAAAAACTTTTCCCCGCTACAATTGGGAAAAGAAACGTTTTACTTGGTTATAATTTAAAGGTTTCCACATACCTAAAATGAAGAGATATTAGCATCATCTGAGCACTATACCAAGCAGGGACAAATTTCACAATCCCTTTAAAGGGTTACTTGCTTAGTTAAAGCAATCATTTTTTTCTTCCTGTATATTTAGCAATAAATGAATTAATAAAGTTAGTAATAATTCTGTAATTTATGCCCAACTTAGCTTAACTTTTGGGACTTTGGAGTACTGGAAGCAGAGGTCAAGAATTTCCTACTAAAGTGTAAGTGTTGTCTTGTTTATTTTGATCATGCATTCAGGTGGTCTGATACATATATATGTCCAGCAAAAAAATATTTTAAGAAAAATAAATGACATATATGAAGATAACGAATAGTATTCAAGTTCAAAGTCCATAATACAGTATAAAATAGCAGAGCAAACACGGACCTCCAAAAATCAGAGGTGGGATCAGGTGCCATGGAGGAGTTAGTATCCTCTGTCGACCGGTCGCTTCCGTCGTGTGCTCCTTTCCATGATCGGGGAATAACGGTAAAATCCGTCGTCAATTCAGTGTGTAAATAATGACCTAACAGTTAGTATGACAAGAGGCTCATGGGCCACATCGCTCACCTGAGTAACTTGGGTGATGCAGATCTTTTTTAAAGATTTGTTCTATATATATTTCTATGTTAAACTTGGATTCCCTATTGTGGCCCCGCCCTACCCCTGGGGGTCATGATTTTAATATTTAATATCTACACTACCCAAGGATGCTCCCACATAAGTTTCAGCTCTCCTGGCCCAGTGGTTCTTGAGAAGAAGATTTTTAAAGATTTGTTCTATATATTTCTATGTAAAACTTGGATTTCCTATTGTGGCCCCGCCCTACCCCAGGGGGTCATGATTTTAAGAATTTAATATCTACTCTACTCCAGGATGCTTCCACAAAAGTTTTAGCTTTCCTGGCCGAGTAGTTCTTGAGAAGAAGATTTTTAAAGATTTGTTCTATATATTTCTATGTAAAATTGGATTTCCTATTGTGGCCCCGCCCTACCCCCGGGGTTCTTGATTTTAACAATTTAATATCTACACTACCCAAGGATGCTCCCATATAAGTTTCAGCTCTCCTGGCCCAGTGGTTCTTGAGAAGAAGATTTTTATAGATTTGTTCTATATATTTCTATGTAAAACTTGGATTCCCTATTGTGGCCCCGCCCTACCCCCCGGGGTCATGATTTTAACAATTTAATATCTACACTACCCCAGGATGCTTTCATATAAGTTTCAGCTTTTCTGGCCCAGTGGTTCTTGAGAAGAAGATTTTTTAATGACCCCGCCCTATTTTTGTATTTTCTTTATTATCTCCCCTTGGAAGGGGTCTTGGCCCTTGATTTTAACAATTTAAATTCCCCTTTACTCAAGGATGCTTTATACCAAGTTTGGTTAAAATTGGCCCAGTGGTTCTTGAGAAGAAGTTGAAAATGTGAAAAGTTTACAGACGGACGGACGGACGGACGGACGGACAGACGGACGGACGGACGACGGACAACGGATGATCAGAAAAGCTCACTTGAGCTTTCAGCTCAGGTGAGCTAAAAAACGTCAGTCAGCATTTGACTCATTATGATAAAATTATTTGCTGACAAGGTCATTGTATTGGCCACAGAAATTACGAAATGATGACTTTGAACGAGGCTGATGGTATTCTTGTTTCATCAACTTGTTTGTCAATAATTAATCTCGTTTTAGAAATTGTACACACGTAGAGCATGCTCCTTCTCTATGTCGAATCAACTGAGATATATAAACCCCGTGTGCAGGCGATGAAGTTATATTGCTTCATAAGCAAGGGAAGTTGAAGATTGTAGATTACCATTAACGTCTTTTTCAAGTCAAATATCCAAATATGAAACCGATGTGTCAGACTCTATGGTATCTTTACAATGTGACACCATTGCCCAATAATTAACCAGACATCTTTCTTTGCTTAACCATAACTTACGAGAAATACAATAGAATTCATAAAATGTGACTCTAAAAAATATGACATACGGTATTTTTGAGCATGACTGGATAGAAAATGGGCTTCCACTTCCGTTTGTGGCTCTGCCAGTTTTGAATTAAATGCCTCACAGTAACTCTGAAGAAAGAAAATCAATCCAGTTAATTGACAAGGAAAGAAAATTTATTTTTCTCTAACATTTAATAATATTTATACATGTAATAAATACTTTTACGCGTAGTTAAAAATTTGTTGCTTAAAAAAGGATAAAATCTCGTGTTATCTGATCTTACAGACGCCACACCCCAGTCTCTGGCCAAGGTACTGAAATGATAACACTTGCTTTGAAATTGGATCCATCCCGTCTTACACCCAGCTGTATGGAGAGAAATGATTTTTGAAATGAACGAAGCTCGCAATTTTCTATACTTTTTCATTTACATAGAACATTTTCATAGTATTCTATACTTTGACATACACAGTCAGCATTTGTCCTCTAAAAATAGCAAAAGATCTTGAATGAGTATTCTGCTTAAAATACAGATAAACTCTATGAAGAAGGATTCTTAATCCATTGCTTTAATCAGTAATTCATATTATCAAATTAAATATGAAATTCATTTAAAATTGTAATAGAAGCGTTCAGATATATTAAATTCCTTTACATGGCAAATAAATTTTAAATTAAAAGATATGTTGCATCAAGACATATGAAATCAACGAACTAAAAGCGTAAATACCAAAAACACAAGGTCCACACGAAATAACGATTAACAGTACAAAATAAAGATCCATATCAGTGTTGTAGAGACCAGGCTTTATGTCTTATCTCTAAGACAATTGTAACGGACCCATATGCTGTAATCCGGTATGATATGGACAGAAATATTGGTATCAAAACGGTTAATTCTGTGTGTCAAATACTAAGGATCTAAATCTGAAATTTCGCTTCAATACATTATTACAATATTTATATTACACCATTTTAAAATTATGTGTAAGTTATGTAATAAAATACTATTAAAGAAATTATCAGCAAAATTATTATGTAAATTTTTTTTTTTTTTACAAAAAAGTGTTATGAATATACTTTTTGCCTTTCTTTAAATCTGAAAATACTAGCAAATCAAATAAACCGATCCCGCCTCCATTAACAACGAAGAAATCTTTTGTATACTTATCAACCGCTTTCTTCTTCCAACTCTACCTGTACTTTTGCTGCCCTTATTTCTTTGCACCTTTTCTGTTTTGTACATTTGTTGCTCGTACATCAAGTGTATGATTTTGTATATGTCATTTTGTTTGTGTTGGAGAGGACAATTAAGTGGGTAAAACTTGTGTCCAGTAGTGTCCAATCCTATTCGTTATGTTTCAATAAAATATGCTGAAATCAGGGAGAACAAGTTGATCTTATTTATTAATCCTTGAACTGAAATTCTATCTAGTTTTGAAATAAATCATATATCACATTCAATAAATATAATAATCTCATCGAAATCCAACACAAGACAAAGTATAAAATGTTTATAAAAAGAAATACTTGGGAATAAATACAGCTGCTCTTTTATTAGATGATTCGTTATCGAACTTGCTTCAATTCTTTGGTCCGCCATTTGTTTTCCGACAACATGACCAGAGAGAACATGATTTCTTTCACATTACTCTTACTGGTGAGCAGTTTACATACGTCCTTTGGTGACACGTGTGAAGAAAGACTGAGTAAACTCGAGACAATTATAGAGAAGCTCGAACCAACAGGCAAAGCTCAGTTTGCAGAAAAAGATACAGAATATGGAGTGTTTAGTGAATCAAGTCTGAGGAGCAAAGAGCAACGACTGGAAGACAAAGGACTGAGAATGGAGAAAAGGATACAGAACATGGAAATGTTTCTAGAAAAAAGAATCAAAACCCTTGAAGAGAAGATAGAATCAAATAATCAGAAAATGGAGGAGAAATGGCAAGAAAAGTTGAGGAACATGGAAGAGAAAGTGAAGGATTTTAATGACCAGAAAATCAAGATAAAAGTTTTGGAAGCTAAGGTAGCCGAATTAGAGATGGAGAATAAGAAACAACAGTCTTTTGATGAGGAACTAATGAGAAAAGAATCAGTTGAAAAGGACCTGGGCACCTTTTCAAAAGCAATAGCGAGTGCAAAAGATATGAAAAATATGAAATTTAAACAAATGGCTCCATCAAATATATTGCAAACTTCATATTCCAAAGTCTTCGGAAATACTGGAAATGAAACTTCACTTGTACATCAGAGGGAGGTTAAACAAAGAAAATCACTGATATCAGCACAAAAACGTCTACTGACGGGTAACGACTTGTTTCTAACATTCGTAGGATATCATATACATTCATACAATACAATACAAATCAAAACGCTGACTTCTTATTACATGTCTTTCAGGAATTCAGCCAACAAGTTCTCCTTTCCCCGACGTGGTGGCATTTTCGTCATATATTTCTACGCATGAAACCCACCTTACAGAAGACCACACGATCAAGTTCGACAAAATCGTTACCAACATTGGCAACCACTACAACCCGCACTCTGGACTGTTCACAGCTCCACAACACGGTGTATATGTGTTTACATGGAGCCTATACTGTGCAGTAGATGGCTACATCTTTTCTCATCTGGTAGTCAATTCTAATGTTGTAGGGGCGATGTTCACAACAGCTCAAGGAGCTACAAATTATCGAGCAACAACTTGGACTGTAGTGGTGGAAGTAAATAAAGACGATGTGGTGTACATCCGTACTCTTCCAAATGGAAATAGCCATTCGGGGAGCCTATACAGCGGTGTTAATTATCGGTCGTCTTTCAACGGCTGGAGGCTTAATTAACGAAATAATAAAACATAATATTGCTGATAATTCTACTGTATAATATTTATGGAATTAAAGTTTGCTACATATCAAAAGAAGACTTGTTGAAAAAAATGAGCATATATCTTAAAATTTCATTTTGAAAAAACAAAAGAATGTTTCTAGATAGAGTATTGTCGTGCATTTATTGTATGATTTTCTAATTCAATAATTGGTAAACGACATTCGTCGTGATGAAAAATCACGATTTTAAATGCTCATATTCATTAAAAAGAACTGTGTTGTTATTTAGTTATTCTATATGTGATAATTTTTATGAAAGCTTTCTGATCTCTTATTTGTTTATTAAAATACCTTATATGCC